GGAACCAGTGGCAAAATTTGGGAGCCTCCTATACCATCTTGCTGGCTTTTGCGAATCGACGGCAGTCGACGCCACATCGACGCCAATCGACGCTATCGCATCGATGACCAGACGCTGATCGACGACAGTGCACTCTGGAGACAGGAGTATCAGGATACAAGGCTCCCATGATCGGAAACTGGAACACATACATTACCAGTGGCGGGCTCTTTCTCAATCCCAGGACTTTTTGAGGGTCGGGGGCGACGTCGGGGTGGTGTAGTGTATACTTGATTCTTCGTGTTCCCAAAGAAACGGCGAACAATGTATACACCAAGATCCCGTATACACCAGGATCCGCTTCCCCGTGCGAATTGCAATGCGGGGCCGGACAAAACGTTGGTGTATAGAGTTCGGCTCCTTACATGATTTGCCACCGAATGAGGATGAGGAGGAGGATAAACCAGGCGACGGAGGACAAAACTAAGTTGAGCAGAGACCGACCGTCCAGGCATTCCTAAAGTCCTGCCACGAAATGTTCTTAGAACCCCAAAATTCTCTAAGAACAAAAACAATGTTCTTATATCATAAGCCCGACGTGATAAGACAGGACAGCCCCAGCCAGAAATGTTCTGAGAACAGCTCGTGGGCACCACGGGGACTACAGGCACGACAGGACGCTTCGCCACTGCTTGACTAAGATGAGGTCGGGCCTGTCCCCTGTAGGGGGATTTTGGACGAACAATAAACCATACACCAAAAATGCTCCAGAGATGCCCAAGAATACTCAAAAAATAATCCCCAGACTATCTTTCGACTATTTTTGAATATTCCCCCTGCAGAGGGACAGGGGCCCGACTGAAGACTCAGAGCGAACCCCCCCTAGCTGGTGGCCTGCGGCGCCGCCTGTCCGGCGGCCCGCTCCAGAGCCAGCCGGCCCCGGTGCCGCCTCGCGCAGGCCAGCGGCGGGCTGCAGGGGAGAGGAGCAGGGGAGGAGCAGGGCAGGGAGGAGGAGGAGGAGGAGGAGGAGGAGGAGGAGGAGGAGGAGGAGGAGGAGGAGGAGGAGAGAAGGAGGAGGAGGAGGAGTAGGAGGAGGAGGAGAGGAGGAGGAGGAGGGGGAGGTGGAGAAGGAAGAGGAGGACGAGGAAGAGGAGGAGGAACAGGGAAGGGAGGGGGACCAAAGTACGACCCGTTCTGGGTCGCCGGCGGCGTTCAACGTTTTATCGGCGGCGGCGGGGTCGCCGCCGGCCGACACGACGCGAATCTATCGTACATGAATCGCTGCACAGGCCTTATTCTCGCTATAGGAAGCGCCCCATCGAAAGATCAACTCCGCATGGGCCTGCCCTTCAGGCGGCACCCCTGTTTGGAAAGGACCTGCATTGCATCCTTTACTTAGCGAGTCATGAGAAATGCGAGAAGGCATGGACGTACAATTCAACGATGCGTCCAGCGAGAACCCCGCTTTGACGAAGAAGCGTCACCCATCTGTGAAACTGTTGCACACACATGTCTACACTGCCGATCATTCAGAACGAACAAGTCGCAAACGAGAACTGCATTGAGACAACGAACCGCTCACCCTCCACGCACCAATGATCACACGTGTAGTCTGAACAGTCTGAAGCGAGCGAGACCCACACTTTGAAAAGAATCCGCCCTCAATCACTGTGACAACTGCAGACATTTAAAGCGAATGCGCGCGGCGCTATTTGAGGGGAAGAACACAATTTTGAAACAAATCCGCCATCCACCTTTCGTAACTGTGAATTGCCAAATCTTCTACGCAAGACAAATACGCACTGCGATTGGGCAATAACTGTAGGTGAAAAGCTGCCCGCCCTCAATTAAGACAAAATGGGGGGGGGGTAAGGGGAAAGCTCTATGTTCGAAACTACCCGCACTTCGTCTTTGCAGCTGCGGCAATTCTGTCGGACGAGCGCGCGCGGCGCTCGGACAAACACCTGATTTTGGCAGTGCCAAGCAACACGCCAAACCAGCCCTGCCGAGACATCTGCTGGTCAGATGAGGAGGAGCTATCAGAGCGGACAAATTTGAAGGGGCCCTGGGACACACACACACACACACACACACACACACACACACACACACCCACACACCCACACACACACACAAATACACACAAATAACAAGACTCCCCATATTTTCCCATATTTTCTGGGTTGTTGTCTTCCCCTCCACTTCCCATATTTTCCTGGGAATCGACGATTCATTGTGTCTGTGTTTGTTCCCCTTCTGAAAATTATAGCGGAGGGGGGGAAGAAGGAGCAGAAAGGGGGGAGAGGGACGGCGACGAGGGAGACGAGGATCGGCCACCATCGAGAGGCGCAGGTCGGCGACTCTCGCTGCGACACCCGCGCGTGAGCGCGCCTCCAGCTGCCGCCGAGTGGCACGGAAGGGGAGGCCTGTGCAAACTCAAGGCTCACCAATGATGTTGGACATAATCCTCCCCCCAAGCTGTCTCTTTACGAGCCCCACCAAGGATCCATTCCCTCTGAGGGCAGTGCCCTTTGGGAGACACACAGTTGCGCCCTGGCAATACTGAGCCGTTCCAATCTACGCTTTCTGGTACGCTGACCATGGGAGCGAGTGAAACTCTGGCGAACGTTTCAGACGAATGTACGCGGCGTTGAAGCAAGAAACTTTTGATGACTGGTGTGCGCCTGGGCCTCTCTGGGGCCTGCTCGGGCGAGCCATGCAATCGTCACTCGCCGCGGGCGAGAGGCGGAATATCCCAGGAACGCCTGGACCATGCGTGCCCGTCCGCCGCGGTATGCGGGGTGTGCGAGGGGAGCTCTCTGCTGCAAATCTGACAGCCCCAACCCGTCAGGTGGCGAACATGCAGTGGGGGAGGCGGGGGGGACGAGGAGGCGGCAAACGAGGAGGAGGAGGAGGAGGGAAGGGCAGGACAAGGACAACGGAAGGAGGAATAGGGTTAAAGCGGAGGGGGCCCTCTCCCTCCCTCCAACCTCCTCCTGCTCGTTCCTTTGTCCTGCCCTCTCTCCTCCTCCTGCTCCTCCTGCTCCTCCTCCGCCTCCTCCTACTCCTCCTCCACCTCCTGCTCCTCCTCCTGCTCCTCCTCCTGCTCCTCCTCCCTCCTCCTCCCTCCTCCTCCATCCGAATAGCCCACGTCAATCTTCCTCGCCGCCTATCTCGCCTCCTCCTCACTCCCCTCCTCCTCCTCCTCCTCACTCCTACCTCCTCCCTCCTCCCTGCCCTCCCACTCCCTCCCTCCCTCCTCCCTCCCCCTCCTCCCTCGAAGACTCCAATCACGAATGTTTCAATCCGTCATCCTTTCCTCGATTTTGGCCTCCTTATCATCCTCCTACTATGACCGCCGCCTCGCATCCTCATCCTTTCCTCTCCCTCTTCCACACCACCTCTCATCCTCCTCTTCTTATTACCTATCCTAAGAAGCACTAGGACTACTCACATAGTACTCCTCCTCCGCCTCCTCCACTGCATGTTCCTCTTTGCGCTGCGGCGGCCTGAGGAGCGCCTCGGTGGAACTGTCGAGCGCGCCGAGCTCGCCCAGGCCTGCCTGTCCAGAGGGGGCCCGGAGGTCCCGAGCGCCCCGGAGGCACCCTGGCCCTCCTCTCTTTCCTCCTCCCGTGGCGGAACCAGATATCTGAAACTCCATGAACTGTTCCACCGTAGCCGCCCAGTGCGCGGCACTGGCCTTCAGGGAACAGCCGCGGCCTACTGCCTGGCAAGAATGCCCAATCACCCAGCAACGACCGCCAGAGGGAGGGAGGTGTTGCGCCGACTGGGGCCTATAGCAGGGCGAACCAGCGGCCGAGACCAGCAGGAAGGCGTAGCCGCCCGCGGGGACGCCCCATCCTCTTCCTCCTCTCCTCCTCGTCCTCCTCATTCACCTTCTCATCGGCCCTCCCTCCCTCCCTGCCAACTCCCTGCCTGCCAACTCCCTCCTGCTTCCTCCTCCCTCCCTCCCAACTCCTCCTCCCTCCCTCCCTCCTTCCTCCTCCCTTCCTCCCTTCCCTGAGCAAAATGCGGGCGTTGGAGGTTCGAGGGGCCCAAGGAGACACAAACAGATCTACACACATTCCCTCATTCCCGATATTTTCCCAAATCAGTGTTTGCACTTGGGCGTAGCTGCACGCTGCACTTCCTGTCTATTGAACTGGGCCTGCGTGGCGGTCCTGCGGCAATATCGTCGCCGTCGCAACTCCGTCGCCGCACGTCGTCTGTGCCTGTCTGGCGGTCTGGCGGCTGTCGTCGCCGTCGCCACCCCGTCGCCGCCTCGTCGCCGCCCGTCGTGTGGGCGTGTATGGCGGTCCGGCGGCTACACAAGTCTCCCCCCGTCGTCGCCTAACAACAATTGCACCACGCAGGTTGCACCACATCCATTGAGACGCGTGAGTTGCACAAAATAATATTGCACAGCGTAGATTGCACATCACAGATTGCACAGCATAGATTGCGCCGCAGATATGGCTCCACAAATATTGCATTACGTATGATGCGTACCACATACATGCATTACTGCATACATTGCACAACACACATTGCACTGCATACGTTAACCAACATATGTTGCACAACATAGACTGTCCGACATCATCTGTACACTGTAGATATGCTGCGCCACATAATTTCCTCCACACTGTTTGCTCGGAATAGTTTGTACCGCACATCTTGTACAACACACACCTATATATGTATATGTATGAATGTATATATGTATGGATGTTCACGTAAATATAGAGCACCACCTAGCTTACTCTAAATCCATAGCGCAACATAGCTTGTGCCACCTAGGTTTTACAACATATACGGCACCATGTATATTGTACAAAATGTATAGTGCCACATCGATTGCACAACGTATGTTGCACCACGCTGATTGCACCACCTAAAATGCTCCGCAAATATTACACCCAAGTTACCTACAAATATTGCACACCATAGGTTACACAAAAATGGTGCAAGTATGGATATCGCATAAATAATTGCGATGTCCCAACTTGAAAAAGGGAATCTCTGGAATTCCCTTTTTTCCGTTCCTCGGTCTTTGAGGTCTATTGAAGGCTGTCTGGCAGCCTGGAGAGCCGACCGAAGGCTATCTTGGGTTGCTTGGGAGCGTCTTGGGCCGTTCTTGTACGTTCTGGAAGCTTTTTGGGGTCGTCTTGAGCTGCCCTTGGGCGTTTTGGGGGTCACGCGCGGTACCGGGCGCGTTCCGCAACTGTTCCGGGAAGGTGTGGGACCCCCGGGAGGGGGGGGGAGTATTTGTTGAACTTGAGGTAAAAAAAGAATCTCTGGAATTCCTTTCTTGTTTCGACTTCCTCGATTTTTGAGTCGGAAGCAAGAAAACGCGAGACGGCGAAACATGTACAAAAACCAACGGGAATCGACGTTGTTACCCTTTTCGGGCTCTCCCGGGACGGCTCCCGAAGCTCTCTTGGGCTGTTTTTTGGGCCTCGCGTCGGCGCTTCTCTGGGGCCCTGAGGTGTGTTGGGGGCCTCTGGGGGGTCCCGGAATCCTTTCGCTTGGGCTTATCTTGCGCCGGTTCTGGGGTGGTCTGGAACTGTGCGGGCGCCTCTTCAGCAGTCTTGGGGCCTTCTTGGCCAGTCTTGGGGCCGTTTTGGGGGCCTCTTGCTCTTGGGCGGTTTTGGGGCGGTCTTGGGGGCCTCTTCGGCCGCCTTGAAGCGTTGGAAGCATGAAATGGTGAGAAGGCCAAAATCTTAGAAAAAACAAGTGGCAATTAACGGCTTTAGGTTCTCCGGGCGCTTTCGGGAGGCCTGTCGTGGCCCTCTTGAGGTTTCCTGGAAGCCTCCTGGGAGCCTGGAGAGCCGCCCGAAAGCTACTTGGGTTGCAGCGGGGCGTCTTGGGCAATTATTTTACGATTTGGGGATTTCTTGGAGTCCTTTTGAGCTGTTTTGGGGCATTGTGGGGGCTCCCCAGGAGGCTGGGAAACGTGGTGCTGGAAGCGTAATAGTTCAGATGCGATCGAGGTGGAGGACCCCTGGGGGGGGGCCTGGCCTATTTGTTTTTATTCTCATATACATTCATAAACTGCACAACCAAAATTGAACAACACAGGTTGGCTGCACCACCTAGGTTGCGCAAATTCGACTGTACCACATCGGTTGCGCACCATATACAAGTGCACCACGTATGTTGTAGAACAAATATGGCACACCATGAAAGACACAACGTAGATTGCACCACCTAAAAATCAAATCTACCACCACTGCCCCAAGGGTTACCCATTCACCCCCGCGTGTTGCAATTTACGTATGAGTCCGTCCCATCGTTCGCTTTAAATATGAATTCGCACGAAACCAACCAGGCCAATATCGTCACGTGCATCCCTGTCGAAGTAAAATGGTTCGTGTATCGAAAAGCGTACATGTCGCACAAAACATGCGACGATGTACACACGCGCGCGACGTCGCGCGAGCATGCCGGAACCCTTGAAGAAACCATGGGTACCATAATGACGTCAGGATCGAATGATCCGAACGCATCTACACACATGGTGTTGTAACGAAGCGTTTCAAAACAGAAAAACTGCGCGCGCGTTATTGCGAGCTCGTAAAGGATATTTTCCAACACTTTCAACACATGCGACGAAACGTGCCTCTCGCGCACGCGTGTCGGAATCATCCGGACGCGCTCGTGCGCATGATGGGGGACGCACGACCCCCATCCACGAATACCATGCGGGCCAATCGCTCCCGCCGGCCGCGCGCATGGTGCAATCCTTCCAAAACCGTCATTACCGACGCGTGGCCAGCGTCATCGTCAAATGCGTGGTCAGCATCGGCGCGGGCATGGGCCTTGCCATCGTCAGTCTCATCGTCGTCACCAACATCGTTGCAAACATCCACGTGTCCCCCGTTGTCAACGTCGCCATGATATCGCTCGCGCCTGAGCCGCCAATTTGCACTGATGTGCCCGCGCGTTTGCGCGCCATGCGACACGCGCCAGGGAATGACCAGCGGTTAATGAACGCAACCGCGGCCGCGTCGGTCGCGCCAGACTTGCCGGCCGCTCTGCGCGCGACTTGCGCGCGCTAGCGAGGCCGCAGCGACGAGCCAGTCAGCGTCAATCAGTCGTCGCAGTTGCCGTCGCATGAAATTGCGAACCAGTTTGCAGTTCGGTGGACAGGATGATTGCACGAGCACTCGACTTGACAACTGCAAGTAGACGAACAGACTCTAACCCCCCCCCCCTCCCCCCCCCCACCCCCCGGATTTCGTGGGCCCCCTTTTTTCGCATTGCAGTTTACATTTGGCTCTGCCCCACCGCCTATCCGAGATGTGATTTCGTATCATCCAACACAAACCGGCATCACTCCCCCCCTGCCATCCTCTGCGACAGAAACTATGCGCGCGCGCTCGTTGATCAAAAAACATAAATCGTCAAGAATCCTTGCGAACAGTAGCACAAAGTCATCGCGCGCGCGCCCACGGCAAAATCGTAGCAAACACAATGTGTTCGCAAGCACTTCAGCGCACAACAACTACATAACAAGAA